TTACTTGTTTAGGCTGTAAAGCCCTACCGTGCAAAACTGCACTACAACACAGGTCTGGGAACAACTAGATTTTTACCTTGCAATTATTTATGTTGTCACCCCACCTTACAGCATATTTTATTAGCAATGTTAATAATGAATCACAGTGGCCTGGGTGGGGGGAGGGAAGTGAAAACCAAAGAGTGTAAAGTATAATTCATAAAATGTGACTAAAAATCAAAATATTATGAACAGGACTGTATTTTGTTGTTAAAATAGGATTTCTAAGCCCAATTTACATTAGTTGCATATTTTCAAAATAATACATGCATTGTCTTTTCCAAAAACTGCTTTTGCGCAAAGAAAAGGCCAGACAGAAAAGATTGATGCTCTTGATAACTAGGAGGCAACAAATTACAGTCATTTTAAACTTTCACTCCATCAATGCTCCTGCTGGCAGGCAATATAAAGTCGACAGAAGCCATATCTCTATACTCAGATTTGATGGCACGTGCTGCCAACAACTGAGATGAAACATTCTGATCCAGAAAAGCAGCTTCTTGCAAGCATTTCTAACTAATGGGCCGCCATACATCAAAAGAGGAGGAGAAAAAGTAAAATTAGAATCTTCATAAATATGTTTTCACCCACACCATTAGTTTAACGTCCATGCCCTTCTAAGCAGCAATTCACCTCTTTCCTTTCTCCTTTCTCTTTTTCTTACTTTAATATTCACAATTATTTGACAAAATAAAAAAAAAAAAAAAAAAAAGGGAGAGTTGGTTGCCTTTCTTGCATTGAATTTTCTCCTCTAGGCCTGTTTTTGCAGCCAGCACCCTTACCAATGTTTCTGCCATACAGAAATCACATGCATTTCAACACAAGTTCATTTTATGTTATCAGTATTAAATTTAAAACACTACAGCGTAAATCAGGAGAATGGTATGACAAGAGTCCTACAAACTCTCCAAGTTTTGCGTCACTCAAATATCTTTAATGAACTGTGTATCAGTTCAATCACTAATTTCTGTGATATGTTGATATTTTCCTTTTTTTATTACTAACTTCCCCTTGAATCAAAAAATTTCACTAGACTGAAAGTTTTAGTTCACGGAAAGGACCAGATCATATGACAAGTAAGACATCCTTCACGTAAACAAGTTCCTGAAGCAAAAATTCATCACTGAAAACATTGATGAGTTCTGCAGGAATTTGACTTTACTTTTTAATGCATCAGTAGGGAATTTTATACATATTTAAATCATTGAGGTGGGAAAATGCAGCTCAGTATCAATCATCAAATGTATTTACAGGAGAACTTCATCATCTCATGAGAGAAAGTGCATGTCTTTCTTTCCATGCTTAACCTTTTGCTGACAAGCCATTAAATCAAAGATTTTTGTTTATTGCTTTCTTTGCACTAATTGTTCTATTGAGACAGGCTATACTAAACTTATCTCTAGCCTGCAAATAAAATATAGAAAAGTATGCCCTCACTTCAAAAAAACACCAAGCTGGTTTTGACTGAAAAATGATACAGACTGACAGCTGTTTGGTAGCGTATGTTAAATGAATGACTGACTCTGAAAATAAGTATGTCCCACAAACACCACTGCAGCTGTCAGTGACACTGTTCTTGACAGTCAGCAAAGATCTGGGACAAAATGAACTTGTAAACTTTATTACCACTTTATACCTAATGGCAGTATGTTTAAAAGTGGACTGATGCACATTTAGATGGAAAAGTAGGGAAGCTTGCTTTACAGTTGTCTCTACTACACATAACGGAGAACTGTATCATCATAAAAATATTTAAGGTCCACTTTTGCTATCCTTCCTCATCCTAGGCATTTATCAAATAAGGTCCTGGTTGTACTGAGTACACATGGCAAAACTGTGCCTAAAGGAAAAAAAAAATCCACCTTCTTATTACAAATTTTGGAAGTCACACATCCAATGAATATATTTCATCAAAGACTCAGGGATCAAAGTCTATTCCCTTTTACTGAAAAAGAGTTATTAATTTATAATATAAAAAGTAACTGCTATGCATACATAAATTTGCATGTAAATTCCAAGGCAAGAAATAGGTTGCCTTGTCTGGTAAATTTATCTGTACAAGGAAAACACAATTTTTTTAAATGTCAAATTTCTTTAAAACTTTGGATAATGTGAACGAAAAACCATCTGAAATTAACATACGTAATTGATAAGGTCTACACAAACACCTAACTCTCTCAAACTCTACATTCAATTTTGTTGCATAGAATATGTCATGATTTTACTTTACAAAATTTTATTACATGGATAACATGCAATGCATCTGTCAGATATGCTACACTTGTATTAAAAAAAGAAAACACATAAGAAACCAAGCCCAAACTCAACACAAAGCCAGCAGGCATACAGTAAAAAACATCACCAAACCAAAAATACTACAGCTCTTTTTAATGGTCACTGTAATTTAAGATGAAACATATTCAAAAGTTTTCATTCAAGCTACATCATTCCACAGTACGGAAAAGTTAGATGTATTGTTGGGATTCCACAACTTAAAAGTGGAAATAAAGATTCTCTATTCTGATTCAAGTCACCATACAAGAACATGGAGTGGAATTTCTGAAATGATCAGTAATTAAAAAGCAAATGCTAACTTTTACCAGTCTAGTTATAACAGAGAGAAATGTTTGAATGGTCCATTACTGATGATAGGTCTGTGCAAAGCTCTGTATCAATTAAGCCTAGAAGACATCTGGCAGAAATCCTCATCTTGCAAGAATTTTTGGCAGTCACTTAACTGGCAAGAAGACCACCAAAATACATTTTCCGTTGCAAGAATATCGATTGCCACTGAACAAGAAGAGTTAATGGAAGCCATTTGTGTTGCTAGGTTTTCAACAACGACCAGCCTCTAGTTTTAAATAACTATAAAACAGAATTTCCCATTACATTTTCTCTGTTCACTTTTGCAATAAGCAGCATGTTTGTTAACTGTCCTCTATGTTACTACTTCATCATCTTTTGCGTTTCCCTCAAGTGCTTGAGCTCTCCATAAGTTTAGAGAAATGTCTTGGATAATGTTTCCTCCAACGTGAAAAAAAATCAAGCTGTTTTCAGGCAAACCACTCTTATCAAAAGGATTTGCTTGGTTTGGAGGTAGAATGTAGCAACTTGAACAGAAATAAAATGCAAGAACATTCCATATTAAACGAACTTTAGGTTTGGATGCGATTTTCAACAGTAGGCTACCACACAACATGTGTCACCAGTCCTTTGATTAATGGCCCCAATCAAAGAATCATGATAGCCTGTGACTCTTCTTGCAATAAAAACCAGAAACCCAACAACATTTGCTAGTTAAGATGTAACGTTGTCAAAATGTTTTTACCTCAAGTACTAGCCAGAGCTGTCCTCCCACGTATTGATCTGCTTTGTAAAACATCCCATAAAATCTAACAACATTAGGATGATTGGGAAGAAACTGCAAAATATTATATTCAGCTTCAATTTCTTCATCTACATCCTAAATAAAAACCATAAACATACAGAACATATAAACATAGTAAGTCCCTACAAAGTAAGAACAAAGTCTCATGGATAAAAAGAACCATTTTTTAATTAGTTTGTACTTTTAAATGTTTTTACTTTAATGCAGCTGAAAGTATTCACACAATACTGTAAATTTAATCCACACTAAACCATGCCACATTTTTAATGTGTAAGGTAAATGTAAATACATGAACCTTTGATTAATTCTTTTTTCTATGGTCATCAAATGGGACCAAACAGAAAACAATTTAATAAAAAACTCAAAGGGGACATCAGTAACAACAAATTCTTATGAGGGAAAGACACAAACCAGGAACAATTAAAGAGAGACAAAACAAAACCCATGAAATAAGCAAATGTTACTGTTTGTTCATGAAAAAATTCTGTGACAATTACAAAATACTGTTTAATATCAGCACACAGGCCACAACTCAGAACAGCACTTAAGCACTGAATCTTTCCTCGTTTCTGTGCAGACTGTGACTATTAGAATATTTAGGCTCTTACATGCATTTTCCTTTTTTTTTGCATTTTGCTAAAAAGGATATAATCTTATTTATTAGCTTTTTCAAATTTATACAAGAGAAAACCAAGATGAATTTCAGTAGTGGTAGATGACGGAAACGCAACTTTTTTTAGTAAAAATTTTACCCAGCTGTCATGATCAAACTCCAGCTTGATCCAACCTGAGCAGCTGCCAATTAAATCTTCCATTGAAAACTGGGGCCTTGGTTCTCAAGGGAAACTAGGCATTTAATACCCACTAAAACTGGAGCTGGCACAGAACTACCTCTGAGAATTTGGGCTGTGCTCTTCTTCTGGTTTTATCTTAACTATTGCTTCACAGTATTATTAAAAAGATAACTATAAAATATCCTGAAGTTCACCGTACTTCTGTGATCGGAAAAGTAATTCTTTTAGGGAGTACACAGAATAAAGTAAGAACATTAAGATTAACAGCATCTTGTACTTTCCCTGCTGTAGCAGGCCCCTAAGAGGAATGCCTCTGTGCCTTTTTATCATTTGCATGCTCCAAGCACAGATATCTGAATCTGTACCAGAAGAATTACATAGACCTAAAAAAGAAACTAGGCAAATGCTGTCTTCAGATAACATACAAGATGATGAAATTGTAAGTTGCAGCTTTCAGATGCTGGTACCAAACTCCTTCTGCCAATGCATTCTGCAAAACTGTTCCCTTCAGAACACATTCACTATCTTACACGTTTGATTTACATTTTAACTGTGTTTGAGAATTCCTTTAAATAACAATGAAGTTACAGTTTAATATTTTTTACTTACACTGATAGGATCCAGAATCTTTACTGCTGCCAGACTCCCATCTTTCTTATTGGCAACCTTATAGACTTTACCGTAAGTGCCTTTTCCAATAGTCTCTATAATTTCCCAGGTATCTGAGGGATCGGCTAATGATTCTAGTCCAATCATACTGGAATTATATTGAAACAATCCATACAATGGCTTCCTGGAAAACAAAGCAGACACACATACAGTGGGAAGCCCCAAGTAACTCTGTACTAAGGAAGGCATTTTATGATAAAGAAATCAAATATTGTCCTAATTTGAGAAGAAATACAGATAGAGTCACAAATGAAAATGAGACAGAATGATAAGATCACTAAATGAAAGAATGGAAAGAAAACTCTGGGGACCACTTCTCTTTACTTACTTTGCTGTATGTATTATTTGCTTCAAACATTGCCCCATACACTGCATGGTTGGACTTGATGATCTTAAAGGTCTTTTCCAACCTAAATGATTCTATGATTCTGAACACTTTTAACAAGTTCTGACAAAATGCAGGCCCTCCCTCTATTGCATGCTCTTTTAATGGACATTTTACACCATTGGTTTAACATGGCTCATGAAATGAGACCCTATTTCTTGTGCATTAAAAAGCCATGTCATGCTTTTAACATACTTTTGTCTAATGCTCCCTGGATGGTTGCCAAACAGGCATTCAGTAGGTATTAACACCTCATCACAGCTGATATATCTACAACAGGCTATATAAAACTAGTTTAATAAAGACTGGGCTGGCTGGTATCATAAAATATAAACCAGCTTGATAATAGGTAACAGGTACACCACTGGGGTAACATTCATTACCGGAGATGTTTTGCAACAATTGCCCTTGTCTCTATCTCTGTTTTTTCATTCAGAGTGTGTTCTGGTCAGCTACACTGGCTGACCTCCACCTTCAGGTGATCTCCTGGTCAGGGAAGTCATTTACCCAAACTCCCCTGTATGGATCACGGCAGCCTATTGCAAAGGGCTCCTTCCCATCCTTGGAATTACACAGATGGCAAGTTCTGGCGCTTAGGAAAATGACAATTTTAGGATTTCATTTCAAGTAGTGAGAACCTAGATTGTGCCCCTGAACTGGAATTAGAGAAAGGAAAGATGAAGTTTAAGATGAGATTAACCTAACCTTTTTATATAACTCATCATTAGGGAAGCTGACTGGTTTATGGTTTCTCTGAGAAAGAGTATTATTTGCCTATTTGGTGACCGTCAGTAGGTAGAGCACTTCAGCTATCTGTACATTTAACTAGGATGTGTAAAGTCTGCAATTCATGAACAAACGTAAGAAGGAAAATAAGCAACTGATCATGACAAAGCAATTGCAGACACCACCATCGCTGACTGCAAAAGCTCTTGATTTCTGGAGATGGATCAACTAGCACCTCAAACATGCACTTGAATTTTCAAGGTTTGAGCCATTTCTTTCTAAGCGTGTCCGATATCTGCAAACCTGCTTGAAATAATTTTAAAAACCAGCTGTCTTATTTACCTCTTCACCACTTCCAGCATCAGTGACAACAGTCTGGCATGAGCAATTTAGTCAGAAAGAAATGTGAGCCTGGCTGGGGAAACTGATAAATTAATAAGGAATGAAGCAGCGGCTCTTCAATCTACTTAAAGAAATAATTGTGCTTTCTTTTCATAATATAGAGAAGAAAATAACCGGTGTGCAAATTCACATGCAGTGCAGGTCTGTATTCAAAGTGGAAGCATGTGTATAAACTCATTTGCATGCTTTGTTCCTCTCCAGAAGAAAGTTTTAAATTCCTTTAGACCCTAAGACAAACATTTACATATGGTTAAAGTAATTTACCACATAGCAGGCACAAAACATGGCTGTTAACAAAGTCAGGCTAGAAGACGTATAATCTTTTTTAAAAAGAATGGCAGGCGCATTTAGAGAAAACCTCTATTTCCCTCCTTGGTTAAAACTGTATTTGCACCAAAGATGGTGCCAAATAATATATCAAATTAGTTTGGTCTCTTGACAAAAAGGAAAGCTAGAGTCAATGTCATTTATCTGTTGTGGGTCAATAATGTAAGTTATTAGGACGGATTCTCACTACTTGGATCTAATACAGCATGCCGCAAATAAAGAACAGTATTCTGAACACATTCAGTTAGCACCTCAACAGAGAAGCAGGTCAGGTGAAAGACTTCTCTGAAATCAGTGAACAGACTGTACTACATGCACTGAAGACAGCAGCCACAGACATGTAGCTCCTGATAAGCCAACCTTAAGAGCAAGGTTTGCTTGCAAAGTGGAGGGTGGTGGTGAATACAAACATAAATTGGAATAGTTGCATCTCAGCTTAAAAAAAAACATATTGAAGATGTGTGATTTTAATGCTTTAGGAGAAATGCTACAGATGTTCATCTACAAAGAAACAGAGAGGAATAGACTGCAAACAGCTTTGATGCAACCTTACCAAATAAAAAAAAAAAAACTCACCGAAAAGAAAAAGAGACTGATATTTATTTCACTGTCACTATAACAGCTACCCTATCACACAGATTGTCCAGAAAATTATGCACGGTACTATTTATACCGATGTAATATTTATTATGATGCCTCCCTCCAAGCAGATGTTGTGGATACGTTTTTCCTTAAAACAAAACAATTTAGTGCCATTGCCTGCTTTTGTTCTGATTAATAAGTAACCCTTAAAATGGCATCTCCAAATTTTTGAATTACACTAACGTTTCTTTATACCAGAAGACAATGTTGACAAAATAAAATCTAACACAAAATTTTTACAGATGGGAGTCCCGGTGGTGGACTGAAGAAAAATTTTCGTGAGCGAGCACTTCTATGCATTGTGATAACAAAGCAACATTTACAGGTAGCATGATTATGCATTACGTGGAATCAGATTTACCAAATATGTACCACAAACCTCTTCTGCTTAAACAAAACCAAAACCAAAATCCTCTTCTTGAACTCAAGCAATACACATCTAAATGTGGTTCTACATATGCCATCAGTGAAAGTGCAACGTAGTAACCCTTATGACATTCCTATGATAGATGTGAATGTTTTCCAGTACAAAAAAGCAAAAGAACAGTATCTTCTATTATCTTCAATATTGTAAAGTCTGGATTTTTTTTTAAATATAAACATTAAAGGGAAAAGCTGAAGTTTTAAAGTGAATTTGTGCTTTTCTTTTTTTATTTCCTGATTTGCTGAGCTTCAGAAAATAAAATGCCCTTGTTTTAACAAGGGCTGCCATTTATTTTTTATTTCTACAGTGAAAAGTTACATATGAATGCAACCACTTTTACAACAACCCCATATTCAGAAGACCTTAACACTAAAATGCTGAAGCTGAAATTTCTTTAGGAAGAAATTTCTCCTTTCATTCCCCCCACATTAGGCCTTACACCTCTCTGGGCTTTGCAATGGTAAACAGAGAATGGCTTCTAGCTGTGAAAAACTTAGCAATGCCCTCCGCAGAGGGAGCCTCAACCTATTAGAGACCTACTGATTAGAAGTATTTTGCAATTTCTGCCACCAGCTGGAAAAAACTTCTCAGTGGTTAAATCTATTCCATGCAGGCAAGCAAAATAGCCCACACCAGATGCTGAAAAATTACACTTTGGCAATTAACTCTACTGGATGGGAAACATCTTACACAAAGCTATTTGGGACTGCACACGCTTATGCTATTTGAGGATTGACTACATGCTATCAACAAGCCCATAGCACTCTACCAAACCCTGTTCCACAGACTTGGTAAGATCATAGAATCATAGAATGTTTTGGGTTGGAAGGGACCCCTAGAGGTCATCTAGTCCAACCCCCCTGCAGGAGCAGGGACACCGCTAACTAGATCAGGTTGCTCAGAGCCCCGCCCAACCTGGCCTTGAATGCTTCCAGGGATGGGGCCTCCACTACCTCTCTGGGCAACCTGTTCCAGTGTTTCACCACCCTCATTGTAAAGAATTTCTTCCTTATATCTAGTCTAAACCTACCCTGGTTTAGTTTAAAACCATTACCCTTTGTCCTGTCACAGCTGGCCCTACTAAAAAGCTTTTCCCCATCTTTCCTATAGGCCCCCTTTAGGTACTGAAAGGCCACAATCAGGTCTCCCCGCAGCCTTCTCTTCTCCAGGCTGAACAAGCCCAACTCCCTCAGCCTCTCCTCATAGGAGAGGTGCTCCAGCCCCCGGATCATTTTTGTGGCCCTCCTCTGGACCCGCTCCAACACTTCCATGTCCTTCTTGTGCTGAGGGCTCCAGAGCTGGACGCAGTACTCCAGGTGAGGTCTCACCAGAGCAGAGTAGAGGGGCAGAATCACCTCCCTTGGCCTGCTGGCCACGCTTCTTTTGATGCAGCCC